TTCTTCCAGGCATTGTGGTGCACACCTTTGATCCCAGCACTTGGGAGGCAGAGGCAGGCAAATCTCTGTGAGTTTGAGGCCAGCCTAGTCTACATAGTGAGTTTCAGGCCAGCTGGGGCTACAGGGAGACCCTGTCTCAAAAAGACAAAAATAAAAAATAAATAAATAAAGGTAAATAAATAAAAAGACCAAAAAATAAATAAAATTTGTATTACTTTTATTTTATTTTATTTAAATATTTCATTTATTATTTTTTATGTTATGTGTATGAGTGTATTGCCTGCATGTATGTGAGTGGACCCATGTCATGCAATGCCATGGAGGTCAGAAGAGGGCTTTGGATTCCTCTGGAACTTAACTTCAGTTAAGGATGGTTTGTAGCCACCATGTGGGTACTAGGAATTGAACCTGGGTCCTCTTCAAGAGCAGTCAGTGCTCCCAACCGCTGAGCCATCTCCCCAGCCCTAAAATTTGTATTACTTTCTTTTTTATTTTTTTATTTTACGTGTATGCATGTATTGCCTGAATGTAAGTAAGTGCACCTGTGTTGTGCAATGCCCACGGAGGACAGAAGAGGCTGTTGGATCCCCTGGAACTGGAGTTATAGACAGTTAGCTGCCATGTGGGTACTGGGATTCAAACCTGGGTCTTCTGCAAGAACAACCAGTGTTCTTAAATGCTGAGCCATCTCTCTAGCCCCTTGTATTACTTTTTTTTTGGGGGGGGGTCTTTTTGAGACAAGGTCTCCCTGTAGCCCCAGCTGTCCTGGAACTCACTATGTAGACCAGGCTGGCCTTGAACTCACAGAGATCTGCCTGCCTCTGCCTCCTGAGTGCTGGGATTAAAGGCGTGTGCCACCACGTGGGAATATGTGTGAGTCAGTGGGCACTTGCAAGTGGAGGTCACATGTGTAGGTCAGAAGATAACTTGTAGTGTCGGTCTCTATACCACGTGTGTCTCAAGGATTGAACTTGTGTTGTCAGGCTTGTCTACAAGAACCTTTACATGATAAGCCATCTTGCTGGACCCTCAAAAGTTTAAAAAAGTAAGCTGAGGGCATGACTTGACAGAGTGACAGCCTAGAGGCCCCCAGTGAGGGCCTGGGGGCATGGCTCAGGGATACAGTGACAGCCTATATTCCCCAGTGAAGGGCTAAGGTGTGGCTCAGGGGTAGAGCTACTGCTTAGAATCTTCCTGTCCCCTCCCAGTGACTCCTCCTGGTGACTTCTGGTCTACAGTACCTCCTGCCCACCTTCAAGAGATACAGACCACCTTGCCTGGGTGTCTTGCATCTGCATGGACACACCTGTAATTATGTTTGCAGTTTGTACCTTCCTGATCAGTCCCCCACCCCTCATGCAATTGTGGTCCTGGAGATTCCCCTAAGGCTGATATTATGTGCAGAGCAGAGTTTCCCCAACCTGGGCTCTGTTCATTGGCTGGTACTGCCAGGCCTCAGAGCGAGTGACTGTGATGACCCTGCTAGATAGCTCTGGAGGTATGTTTGGGCACAGCCAGGCATCTGGGACCCCCAGGTCTCTAATTTGCATCATCCAAGCCTTACAAAACCCAGTGTTTCCTGTCCTGTTCCATCTCAGGCCACTCAGGGAGCAGTAGGCTTGAAGGTGTGAGAGCTGGAGGCAGAGGGGCCTTGGGTTGCAGCCATGGCAGGAGTTGAGTGCCAGCAGATCCCTGGACACTGGATACCCACTTTGCTGGGGAACCTTAGAGAAGATAACGTAGAGCCAAGGGACACTTCAGGGGACCTTGGAGAAGGTTGCACAGAACTACGGACACCCCAGGCCCTGAGACACACAGTTGCTTCATGTGCTTTGTTTTAGGAATTTTCCATTTGTTGGTTTTTTTGTGGGCTTTTTTTTTTTTTTTTTTTTTTGGTCTTTTTGAGACAGGGTCTCCCTGTAGCCCCAGCTGTCCTGGAACTCACTATGTAGACCAGGCTGGCCTTGAACTCACAGAGATCTGCCTGCCTCTGCCTCCTGAGTGCTGGGATTAAAGGCATGCACCACCACACCGGCTAAAAACAATATTTATTTTATTATTATTGTGTGCACACCACAGATCACCCATAGAGGTCAGAACTCTTTACAGAACTCTCCTTCCACCATGGGTCCTCGGGTTCAAACTCAGATCATTAGACTTGATGGCGAGTGCCTTTATCCATTGAGCTGTCCTGTCTACCTGCCTGTTTGTTTGTTTGTTTTGAGACAGAGTCTCCCTGTAGCCCCACCTAGCCTGGAATTTGCTATGTAGCCCAGGCTGACCTCTGTCTCCCAGAGATCTGCCTGTCTTTGTCTCCCCAGTGCTAGCATTAAGGGTACCACCATCCCTGGCCTCTTTTTATTTATTTTTAATTTAATTTTTAATTTATTTTTAATTTAATTTTTTGGTCTTTTTTGAGACAGGGTCTCCTTGTAACCCCAGCTGGCCTGGAACTCACTGTGTAGACCAGGCTGGCCTTGAATTCACAGAGATCCATCTGCCTCTGCCTCCTGAGT